GGGGGGCACCAGCCAGCTGGTGAAATCAATGATCTGTGGAATTGCAAAACAACCTGGAAGAAAATGAAGGAAGGAATGTCCCACCCCTCAAAAAACCCCAAAATTTTGATGGGAAACTGACCGTGCCCCATGGTCAGAAAATACTGATTGGTTGTTTCAGAGGAGAAACAGAGAAAAGGGGTAGAAGGAGAATACGCTATCCTGAACCAGAGCTTCTTAAACAGAAGCCATTCTGGTACACTGCAACATGCCCTGTAATAACAGGCCCCGCTTTTAAAATTATTTTCCTATGGACCCACAAATTAGTCTCAAGGTCTTTTGAACTCTATGTAACTGAGCAATCTGAGCAATATGTTCTTTTCACTGGGTATTCGGGCATTCCCTAAAAATACCACTTCACTTTGCTTTCTATCTCAGTGTTATTGGGCACATACGGCTTTCCTTGGATGCAGAGAGAGGTGAGTTGTGCTCTTTCTGAGGTTCATGCTCTTCCCTGGGACTTCTTTCCTGCAGGATGCCATGAGAGGCATTGGGTTCACACCCTCAGAGATGACAGAGGTGCTGGAGGTGGCAGCAGTTGTCCTCAAACTCGGCAATTTGCAATTTGGAGAGCAATTTCAAGCTGGCGGGACACAAGCTTGTGTTATCCAGAGTGACAAAGGTAAGCAGGAGAGAAGGACCATTTCCAGGGCTACATAGGAACTTGATGGCATCAAATGAAAACTTCTTTGGGGCTTCAGTGTTCTGTTGCCTTAACAATCTCATTCCTGGGCACACGACACAGAGAAGCCAGGTTGTCATCACCTTGAAAGCAGTTTTGCATTAGGAGTTGCACATAACATCAGCTGCCTTGTGGAAAACAGCCAATAATGTAAGGCTCTTAGGGAGGCCATATGTATTTCTCAGATCAATTGTTCCAGAGGAACTTGTTCTTCTATTCAAAGCCAAAGAGCTACATCTGCTGTCCCTTCTTTACTATCAGACTAGGCAATATGTGCCATCCATTTTTGAGTTTCTCCAGCCTTGCCTCCAGCAGTCAGTAGAGATGAAGCCAGAGAAACCTGCAACAGTTTGCTGTTGTTATATCAGACAATCTCTGTAGGAGATGACCAGGCTGAGCCCAAGGGAGAGGTTAAACGCGTCATAAGTCATGAATCTCAGTGTGCCTGCTAGAGATCTCAGTCAGCCCTCCTTGAATGCCTTTCTTATCTGCCCTCATTTCTCTTGACCATTAGTTGGTCAGATTTTTGAACAGAGTAAAAAAACGAGATAGTGCCCAGACAGTACGCTATTCACTAAGCACTTATTCTATGTAAAGAGAAAATATATAAATATTTTTTTAAAAAACAATTGTTTTACTATCTGAAGAGAAACTTGCATTTTAAGAGTTCCATTGGGCAACCTATCTGTTATAGATCGGGAAATGAGAGGCTTAGACCAGAGCATAAGTGGAACAGGCTTTATTCAGGGAATAAAGGGTCGTCGCGTCTGCTTACTAACAGGCAGACCTGGCTAGCGAACGACGACTGGCTCAACCCGACAGCCGGCTTTTATAGCCGACTGTCAAACGGAGCCAGCCAATGGGAGCGGCTTGTGCTCCTGCTTAAAGAACGGACCTGGTTGGAAACCCCAACCGGTCCCCAAGACATAACACCCCTTCCCCCTAGATAGGAACACGTATAGTCTTTGAGATACTCCGGTGGCCTGTGTTGGCGACCGGAGCGACGTAACTCGGGAGAGACACTGGGTGATGATAAGTTCGTGGAGTCCTGGTCAGAGTACATAGGGGGGCGAGCCCCGCTCGGTGCAGGATCTGAAACCTGGGGAAAGTCTCTGCCTTCGGGCTGGGTTGGAGAATAGTCTTTGCCCGAAAGGCGGATGCCTTCTCTGGGGAGGAACGGTGGTGTCTCTGGACGGCAGTCCCGGTCTACTGCCTGGTCTCTCTGCTCCGTCGGGGATGGCTGGTCTACCAGGGGATTCTCGACTGGACCATGGTGCTGAACCCGAGGGCTGTCCGGTGGAGACAGATCTGGGGTAGTCAGGCTGCTCCGTCATCTCCGCAGCTGGTCCAGGTGCCTCCGCCAAACACAACCGTCTTCCAGCTGGACCCGATAAGATCTCGGACCTGTGACAGCTACGACCTTCCCGGGCACCCACAGTGGATCCCCCGTGTAGTTCCTGGCAAACACCAGATCCTGTAATGCGAAATCCCTGGCCAGACTGTCAGACCCCAAAGGGGTGCTCGGGCAGTAGTGGGGGTGCAGTCTGTCCAAAGTAGTCCTCAGGCGTCTCCCCATTAGCAGTTCGGCTGGGGATTTGTTCGTGACTGTGCACGGTGTGGTATGCTGGCTCAGGAGGAAACGAGACAGTTTAGAGTGCCAATCCTCTTGGCCGAAACGGGCCAGTGCCTCCTTGGCCGATCGGACAGCCCTCTCTGCCAGCCCGTTGCTAGAAGGGTGGAAGGGGGCCGTGAGGACGTGTCTGATGCCCAGATTGGTGACATACCTGCTGAATTCACTTGAAGTGAACTGGGGGCCATTGTCGGAGACCAGGGTGTCAGGGAGCCCATGAGTTACAAAGAAACGAGTTAGCGCCTTGGCAACTGCCTGAGTGGTGGTCGTCGGGAGTAATGCCAAATCGATCCACTTAGAGTACGAGTCTACGACCACCAAGAAGGTTTTGCCGGGCATAGGCCCGGCGAGGTCGATGTGGAGCCTTTACCATGGGGCATTGGCACTCTCCCACTTGGTGGGGGTAGCGGCTGGCGGGGCTGCCCTGGATTCCTGACAGGGACGACACGAGCTTACCCACTTGGCGATCTGGTCGTCCATCCCTGGCCACCAAACGTAACTGCGAGCCAACGCCTTCATCCGCACGATGCCCGGGTGGCCCTCGTGCAGCACCTTCAGGATGGGAGTGCAAAGGGTGGTTGGGATGACGACTCTGGTGCCCCACAACAGGCATCCCTGCAGTTTGGAAAGCTCCTGCTGGCGAGTTTTAAATGGGGTGAAATCAACTGAATAGTTAGTTTCCGGCCACCCCCTCCCCACCCAGTCCAGAACCTGGGTGATTGTTCTGTCCCCTTTCGAATGGGCCGCGATGTCATCGGCAGTCACAGGCAGTTTGAGCTCGTTGAACTCGAAGATAGCATGCACGGGGGCTGGATCCATGACAGGTGCTGGCAAGGGGCATCGGCTGAGGGCATCTGCATGGCTCAGGTTTTTTCCAGGACGATGGACTAGTTTGTACGAGTACGCCGCCAGGAACAAGGTCCATCTGGTCATCCTGGGGGACAATACCTGGGTGGTTTGCTTGTCCCCAGATAACAGGCCTAGAAGAGGCTTGTGGTCTGTTACTAGTTCGAAATGGTGTCCGAATAGAAATTCGTGGAATTTTTTGACTGCTGCTACTGCAGCCAGGGCCTCTTTATCGATTTGGGCGTAATTATGCTCAGTCGCCGAGAGGGTTCGTGAAAAGAAAGCAAATGGTGCTTCGAAGCCATTAGGAAGTCTGTGGCTTAAGACAGCTCCTATCCCAAAAGGGGATGCGTCTGCAGCAAGGACCAGGGGGAGGCGCTGGTCAAATTGAATTAACACCGCCTCTGAGGTGAGTAGGGATTTGACTGCTTCAAATGCGCAATTTTCCTTGTATCCCCAATGCCATGGTGAGTTTTTATCTAAAAGCCTGTGTAGTGGTTCCGCTACTGAGGCCTTGTGTGGGAGGAATGAAGCATAGAAGTTCAATAAACCCAGAAAAGCTTGCAACTCAGCTTTGTTGGTGGGCGTGGGCGCCTCATGGATTGCCTTGACTTTAGATTCCACCGGGTGGATGCCAGAGGCGTCTAGCCTGTAACCTAGAAAGTCCACCTGCCTAGTGGCGATGGCACACTTCTCCCGTTTTAGTTTGAGGCCATGCTGTCTGAACTTCTCTAACACTGCTCTGACTCTCTGGATGAGCTGGGGTCTGTCTTTGGCTGAGACCAGAATGTCATCCAAGTATGGCACTACACCAGGGAGGCCTTGGAGGATTCGCTCCATTAGCGATTGAAAAATACCTGGGGCTACACTCACGCCAAACTGGAGACGTTTGCACCTGAATGCCCCTCTGTGTGTTACTATAGTCTGTAAATCAGCTGTTTGAGCGTCAACAGGGAACTGTTGGTACGCTTGTGACATGTCCAGTTTGGCGAAAATGTTGCCAGGTTCGAATGTATGCAATAGGTGCTGAATAACTGGAACAGGATATGCGCTAACCTGTAAATAACGGTTGATTGACGTCTTGTAATCAGCACAAATTCTCAAATTACCGTCTTTCTTAAGTGGAGTGACTATGGGGGTCTCCCATTTGGCGAAATCAGTGGGTTCAATGACCCCCTGTTCGAGGAGTTTGTCCAGTTCCGCGTCCAATTTTGGGCGGATGGCGAATGGTACCCTGCGAGGTTTAAGGTGGATGGGAGTTGCCTGGGGGTCGACTGAGAAGGAGATGGGCGTGCCGTTATAACAACCCAGCTCACTACTAAAAACATCAGCGTAGTCTGAGAATAAAGAGTCAGTGTCGGAAGTTGACACAGCATGGACCCTCGTTACACTAAGGCCGAGAAAGGGGAACCAATCCAACCCCAAAAGACTAGGGAGGGCACCGTTAACAACCACTAAGGGCAGATGGCCTTTAAAGGATTTGAATTGGACTAGGAACTTGCCTTTCCCGAGGACAAGGATGTTCTTTCCTTGGTAGTCTCTCAGGGTGAGGCTGCACCTTTGTAGCTGCTTCCTAGCCAAACTGGGTTGGATCTTCTTGAGCGTGTCCCAGGAGATGATTGAGAGTGCTGATCCCGTGTCCACCTCCATGCGGCAGGGTTTACCTTCTAAAGAGACAGAAAGTGTAATTTTATTGGGGGTAAGAAATGTGTGATTCGCGTGGTAGCAAGTATAGCAGCTCTCTACTTGCCTTTGGGAACCAGGAGAAGAAGGAGATTTTTGTGGAAGAACGCGCGCAGCTTGGCAGACTCTTGCGAGGTGACCTTTCTTGTGACAGTTGTGGCAGCTGGCGTTTTTGAACCTGCAAGATGCCCGGGCATGGGAACCTCCACAGGTCAGGCACAAAAGAGTCTGTTGCGGGCCGCTGTTGTTTCTCTGCCTGGTTCCTACCTGCGACTGTCTCACCGGCTTGAGGCGATGAATGTCAAAGTATTCAGTAGGGCCTTCTTCGCTCACCACTTCTTCAGAGTGTATGGAGGAAGTGCTGGGTTTGGGTGCGGTGCCCTGGATCTCGGCTGCTGACTGGGCTGAGAGTTCAGCAGCCAAAGCTTCTTCAACGGCCTGGGGAAGGTTTAAATCTTTCCTGTCCAACAGGCGTCTCTGGAGCCTTAGATCTCTTACCCCACAAACGAGTTGATCGAGCAGCATGTCGTCCAGGTAGTTCTTAAACTCACAGTGAAGAGCTGCTGTTCTCAGGGCGGCCATGTATTGGTTGATGGACTCCCCCTCGGCTTGCTTCCTCATTCTGAATGCGAAGCGTCTAGCGATCTGGGACGGTTTCGGTGAATAGTGGTTGGAGAGTGTCTCCAGCAGCTCAGACCATGGAACATTCTTGATCTCTCGTGGTGCCAATAGTGCTGTGGCGGTATCGTAGACTGCAGCCCCGCAGTAGCTGAGGAAGTATGATTTCTTCCTCTGCTCTGTAGCATCAGCCAATCCAATGGCATCAATAAAATGGTTAAAGCGATTCCTGTACGAATCCCATTTTTCTTCATCCGGTTTGAACGGTGGGAATGCCGGGTTGACATTCATTCTGGATCACTCAGTCTCTTGGCAGACTGGTTTGTCTCTCTGGGTGTTCGTGGCCCTGCTTATTGCTAACCGTGAGCGTTGGCGGCTGTGGCTGCAGCGCCCTTGACTTGCTCAGTGACTCCAGCCTCGAGGAGGCAGTTTGTATTTTTGCTCTCTCTGCGAGCGTTTGGCGGCTGTGGCTACAGCGCCGTAACTGACAACGATTCAAATTTCGTGCCCTCTGGAGAGCGTCGGCGGCTATGGCTACAGAGCCGAACTTCGCTTTAGTGACTGAATTCAAACAACAGTGGTTTGAATTTGGCGCTCCTTTGCGAGCGCGGGCGGCTGCGGCTTCAGCGCCCGACTTTCACTAGCTGTAGCGTTTAAAATCGAGCGGTTACAACGCTCGTGACTTTCGCTCAGGGCAGCAGCGATCCGAGCCAGGGCTCCTTGCGAGCGATACGGCTGCGGTATGGTGCTTATGATTTCGTGACTTCAGTTCTCTTGCATGCTTCTGGCTAGCCCTCGTATCCCATCCTCGTCGCCAGTGTTGTAGATCGGGAAATGAGAGGCTTAGACCAGAGCATAAGTGGAACAGGCTTTATTCAGGGAATAAAGGGTCGTCGCATCTGCTTACTAACAGGCAGACCTGGCTAGCGAACGACGACTGGCTCAACCCGACAGCCGGCTTTTATAGCCGACTGTCAAACGGAGCCAGCCAATGGGAGCGGCTTGTGCTTCTGCTTAAAGAACGGACCTGGTCCCCAAGACATAACACTATCAAAATGCAGATTCTCTCTGTTCAAGCCTTCCTTGCTAGGACTCACTATTGCATGCACTGTTTCCTCCATATTTTACTTCTACAGTGCTGCAAGAGATCTGTCAGTTGATCCATCTGGATGAAACGGTACTGGAGCAAGCTTTGTGTTCTCGAACAGTGGAAGCCCATCAAGATAAGGTGGTGACATCCCTGAATGTCTCACAAGTAAGTATTGGGCGTGTTTTTGTACATGAGATCTCTGGAATATGGCTGTTCCCAAGCAGAAGTGTTAGTTGGGATAATTCTGTTAGCTGTGATCATTCTGCTCCATGTTGAAAACTGTGCAGGGTACTCAGCATAACGCATACTTCAAGCATAGGTTCATCTTTTCCAATGTAAAAACAGCCGGATGCCTGGCAATTGAAGTTACTCAGATGTTTGGAGGTAACACTATATTTGGATTTAGTTTTCTTCTCCAGAAGAATCAGCAGGCTAAGATAAGTTGATTGATAAAATTTATTCCAGGGAGTCTTTGAAAAGAGAGAGAGAGCCCAGGCAACTTTCATTATTATGTTGCTCTTGAAATATATTTTACCTTGTTTTAATATGGGTCACTGTATGGTGAGTGTTTTGTTATCTGACCTTAAGAAAAATACAGCCCGACTAATGTGAATTTAATTTAGCTGGACAGGAACTGTTGAATTAATTAGGTGTCAGACAAACTAATTTGAAGGGTATGAAGAAAGAAAATGGAGAAGAGACAGGACTAAACTGAAATAGCAACTCATCATGAATATGATTTCTTTGGGAAAGAAACACAATTCTTTCAAGTTGAGCTCAACTCCTGGAGATTGCATGTCCACATAGTTTTCTAGGCAAACACACTAGGCTTTGGTTGTCTTCTAGGTTTTTTTTTTCTCCTTATGCTTAATATCCAGTGTAGCCTACAGCCAGCCCCTTCACTCTGGAACAGCTGGTCAATTCTAGTCAGCATGGCCCTCATCCTGTTTACTTCCTGGAAGGCAGTGAAAACAGTGGTCTTTGTTAGGGCCTTTGGGTGAGAAGAATCTCAATTAGAGGGACAGTGGCATTAGGGGATTTTGAGATGTTTTTTAAAGTGGAATGTTTGTTATAGCTTTATAATGGCAGACAGGCTTAAATTCAGAGAGACAGCAGCATAAAAACAGCTGTACGGTATAAGCAAACAGAAAAAAATAGGGAACGAAACAATTTATCTGCCTCTACTCACCAAATTCCAATTGTTTGTATTCATTCTGTGTATAAATGAATATTTTTTCTGTTGCACCATCTTGCTTTGAACAACTATTGGGCCTTGACTCTTGACGAATGTATCTTTTCTTTTATGTATTCTGAGAGCATTTGCACCAAGACAAATTCCTTGTGTGTCCAATCACATTTGGCCAATAAAAGAATTCTATTCTATTCTATTCTATTCTATTCTATTCTATTCTATTCTATTCTATTCTATTCTATGAGAATATAAGTTCTGTATTATAAAAATGGATATCAAGATTCTGCAAATTTTATGGGTATGCAGGGAGGAAGTGATGGAACTAAAATGGCTTTAAATATAGTTTAAATATGAACAGTAGACACGTCCAATGAATGTTTAAATCTGGAATGATTCTAATCCAAGCTCTAGGGCAGGGACTAATTCCCACACACACATACACACACACACACACAATTTTTATTCTTTCTTAACTTCTGAATGACTAACCACCAGAGGTGGTATTCAGCAGGTTCTGACCAGTTCTGGAGAACCGGTAGCGGAAATTTTAAGTAGTTCGGAGAACCAGTAGTGGAAATTTTGAGTAGTTTGGAATACCACCTCTGACTGGCCCCAGTCCCATCTCTTCTCTGCTGATCAGCTGGGTCTTCTTTTGTTGCCCTGCACAGGAGAACGGAGCTGGAAAGCAGGTTATTGGGGTGGGGAGGGAGGATTTTGCAGTAATCTTCTCCCTGGAGTGAGGAGGGAAGGGTTTTTTTTTTTTCAATATTCTTCCTCTGCCATGCCCACCAAGCCACACCCACCAAGCCAAGCCACACCCACCAAGCCACGCCCAGAGAATCGGTAGTAAAAATATTTGAATTCCACCACTGCTAACCACCACTGTCTTTGCTCCTAGGGTTACTATGTGCGGGATGCTCTTGCAAAGAACATTTATAATCGTCTCTTTAATTGGCTTATTAACAGGATCAACGAGAGCATCAAAGTGAGTATGCCTCACCCCTGCTTCCTAACATATATTTAGATTCCATTCATTATAATTGAATGAGATCTTTTGAGAAAGCTTTCACCAACTTGGTATTGAGCTAACACTTGGAATCTCTAACTGTATGGCCATTGCCTTTTAAGTCAGATTGGAATCTGGGACACCCGGAGGCACTGCATTGGACAAGCATAGCTAGACCATTCTATTAGTCTTCAGCCTTTGTTGAAAAGGCAGGAGGTGCATAGAAATTAAAGCTTTAACCATGGAAAAGAACACAAAGATGTCCCAGTCATACAAAGACAGCTTTTTAAAAGGTATGCAACAGCTGTTATGAAAACAGCAGCATAGCCTAGAAAGATGGGAGAGGTGAGAAAGGAATTAAAAATTGCCCTCTTTGATTCTCTTTGGTATAAGAAGGAGAAACAGCACAACTTTCAAGATTTTGTTTCAATGTCATATAATAATAGAATAGATTTCTTGATGACATTGTAGGAGAGCAATATCAAATTATGGTGCAAAAAATCAAGAGAAAGCAGACAGAATCTTTTCCAATTAACACATTTTAATAAAAGCCA